ATAGTGCAAAGTAAGAGACGCTATGCAGGTGACTTGGGAGGTGAGTCAGAAAACTCTCTGTCGGGACAATAACGGAGTCGATATTGGACATGTCTCACCCTGGGTGGGACAGATAGAGGTGGGCGGCTTAGGGGTTAGGCCAAAAGGTAGGGGATTTGTCAGTTCTGGAATCCTACAAATGTGGGGAGTGGAGAGTGCTTGCTCACCTACTTTCTCCACCCAATGCTGTCCACTCCTAGCCGTGACACGGAGCCAAGAGGATGAGAACAAGATAATTGGTGGCTACACGTGTGCCCGGAACTCCCAGCCATGGCAGGTGGCCCTGCTGGCGGGTCCCGGGCGCCGCTTTCTCTGCGGAGGCGCCCTGCTTTCAGACCAGTGGGTCATCACCGCTGCTCACTGCGGCCGCCCGTAAGTGACCACCCCCGTCCCTGTGCCCAGTGAATTCCAGAGTCTAAAGCCCTAGAACTCAGCTGAGAACCTGGATCTCAATGGAGATCTAGAACCCAGTGTAGCAGCTGGCTCCTGGTTCGAGGTCTAGAGAAGAGCCTGGAGCCAGAAACACAGCTTGGGATGTGGATGCCCCCATACACCCCAACTCCGTTTAGATTCTGCAACCACATGGGCCTGCTGAGAACCTAACATCTAACCCAGTGATTCATCCAGAGGCCAAGCTTTACATCAAGACTAAGCTTAGCCCATTCCAGATTGGTGACTGAATTCAGGACCCTGTCTACATTTAGAAACCCAGGACACTACGTGGCACTCAGAGCCCAGCTCTGGACCTATAGTCTAGCCATAAATCCAGAACTAGAACCCTGCTCACAGCTGGAATATACAACACAAGAATAGAGACAAAGCCTGGAGCCTGTTTCACATCCAAGGTTTAGTTCAGAGTCTAGTCTACAGCTTTGCGATAAGCAGCCTAGATCACAGACTTCAACCCAGAGTTTAAATCCCAGAATGTGCCAGGCACAGCGGCTCACGCCTGTAATCCCAGCACTTCGGGAGGCTGAGGCAGGCGGATCACCTGAGGTCGGGAGTTCGAGACCAGCCTGACCAACATGGAGAAACCCTGTCTCTACTAAAAATACGAAATTAGCTGAGCATGGTGGTGCATGCCTGTAATCCCAGCCACTCGGGAGGCTGAGACAGGAGAGTCGCTTAAACCTGAGAGGCGGAGGTTGCAGTGAGCCAAGATTGCGCCATTGCACTCCAGCCTGGGCGACAGAGCGAAACTCCATCTCAAAAATTAAATAAATAAATCCCAGAATGCAGATCCTAATCGGAAGCCCCATATAAAATCTAGACCTCTCCTAAATTCTAGATCTGAATTTACAACCCAGATCCCAGCAAAGAAGTCAAAATGCCTATAAGCAATATCTATGCCATAAATGGAAGGTCAGTCTAGAAACTTGAGATCAAAGCTCAGTCCAGAGTCTAGAATATCAAGGCCAGAATGCAAACCAGACTCTGAAACCTTAGATCCAGGCCATAACCTAGAGCTTCATCTAGAACCCAGAGCCCAACCTGAGGTCAGGGGCTCAGACCAGAGTCTAGAACCAAGAGCCCCGTAATCCAGTATGAAACAGACCTGTTGAATCAAGAGCTCAGACCAATGTAGAGAACCCTGACCCCAACTGGGGCACAGACCTCAAACTCTTGTCTGCGAATGGCTCATAAACCAGAGTTTAATGAAGAACCCAGAGTACTACCCAGAAACTGGAGCTCATTTCAATGTGTCCAGACCCCATAGCCCAGGTCTGAATCCATTGCTCAAAACAAAACCCTCAGACTACCCTAAAACAGAAAGCTCACATAAGAATCTAGAAATGAAGTCATAGCCAGGCGAGGTGGCTCACGCTTAGAATCCCATTACTTTGGGAGGCGGAAGGGGGCAGATCACTTGAGGTAAGGAGTTTGAAACCAGCCTGGCCAATGTGGTAAAACCCCATCTCTACTACTAAAAATATAAAAATTAGCCGGGTATGGTGGCGGGTACCTGTAGTCCCAGTTACTGGGGAGGCTGAGGTGGGAGAATCACTTGAACCGGGAGGTGGAGGTCGCAGTGAGCTGAGATTGTGCCACTGCACTCCAGCCTGGGTGACAGAGTGAGACTCTATTTAAAAAAAAAAAAAAAAAAAAAAAAAAGAATCAAGTCATAATCCAGGCTCGCTCTAGAATCCCGATCTTAGCATAGAGTCAAAAGTTTAAGATGTCTGGGACCCAGAGCCCAGGCTAGAAACGGAATGGAGCCTACTCCGGAATGACAGTTCTGACTTAGAGCCTGGAGTCATTACCGAGAGTTTCACTTAGAACTGAAAGCACAGAGCCCAGCACAGACCCTGGAACGGAGCCAGGCTCTCCCAATCAACACCTTCTTCCCAAGCCAGGAGCTGGAGCTCAGCCCAAGAGCAGAAGGAACAGTAGCTGGGGCTGGGCCGAGAGAATGTCCTGGCCATGGGGAAGGGCGCAGGAGGCCAAGAATGCTCGGCCTGCAGTTAGTAAGGAGCAGGCTCGACCTGGCCGGGGTGGGGTGGCGGGGGAGACTCGTTACCCAGCTAGAGGGCCAGGGAACGGGGCTGGAGGGTGGGGAGGGGTCTCTGGCTCAGACCCTGAGCTGCGCTCCTCTTGGCGGTCCTGATCAGGATTCTTCGGGTCGCCCTGGGCAAGCACAACCTGAAGAGGTGGGAGGCCACCCAGCAAGTGCTGCGCGTGGTTCGCCAGGTGACACACCCAAACTACAACTCCCGGACCCACGACAACGACCTCATGCTGCTGCAGCTGCAGCAGCCTGCGCGGATCGGGAGGGCAATCAGGCCCATTGAAGTCGCCCAGGCCTGTGCCAGCCCCGGGACCTCCTGCCGAGTGTCAGGCTGGGGAACGACATCCAGCCCCATCGGTGAGGATTTCCTGCATCTGGGAAAGCTGGGGGCGGGGCCTAGACTCCTGGGTCTGAGGGAGGAGGGCCTGGGGGCCTGGACACTTGGGTCATATGGGAGGGTACTCAATCATAATCCTGCAGTGCCCCCCCAGCCAGGTACCCCACTTCTCTGCAATGCGTGAACATCAACATCTCCCCGGATGAGGTGTGCAGGAAGGCCTATTCCGGAGCCATCAAGCCTGGCATGGTCTGTGCAGGAGTTCCCCAGGGTGGGAAGGACTCTTGTCAGGTAAGGCCCAGAGTGGGAGCTGGGGGAGGGATTATTTGGGACCGGGATTTAGGCCCCAAATGATGTCAGGAGCACGGAAGTCTGCAGAAGTCTCCAGAAGAGAGGGAACTGGAGGGACAGAGAGATTCCGATAGCCAGTCCACCCTGCTTCCTAGCCCTGTGCCGCCTGGATAATGGACTCAAAGTGTTCATGCCTCAGTTTCCCCATCTGTCAGGTGGGGATAACCCTCTCAGGGTAGTTGGTGGAAGGGGATGAGACAGGCTGGGGAAAGATTGCAGAGTGGCGTCTGCACATATGGGTCTGGGAAAGACTGCGCCCAGGCTTCTAGAAATCTGAATGCATCCTTGGAGTGGCAGAGACTGGGACATAGGAAGAGACACACAAGTGTTCTAGAGATGGAGCAGAGAGGGACCCGGTGAGACCCAAGGGACAGGCAGGTGCAGACACAGAGACAGAGCCGGACCCAGCGGAGAGGGAAGGAAGTGCCCCACCTCCGGGGCTGAGACCTCAGAGCTGGGGCAGGACAACGTCCTTACCTGTCTGCCCGGCGTCTCTCTGCCTGTCTCCGTGACTATCTCTGCTTCCTGGGTTCTCTGTGCCGTGGCTCTGGACACCTGTCCATCAGTGTCTCCATCTCTGTTCCTCCCCCTCAGGGTGACTCTGGGGGACCCTTGGTGTGCAAAGGAAAGCTCCAGGGCCTCGTGTCTTGGGGAATGGAGCGCTGTGCCCTGCCTGGCTACCCCGGTGTCTACACCAACTTGTGCAAGTACCGAAGCTGGATTGAGGAAACGATGCGGGGCAAATGATGGCCGTCATGGAGGGATGGACCTCGTCAGCTGCCTCCTCTCTCCACTCAGGACCCACGAGTCCAGGCCCCAGCCCCTCCTCCCTCAGACCCAGGAGTCCAGGCCCCAGCCCCTCCTCCCTCACACCCAGGAGTCCAGGCCCCAGCCCCTCCTCCCTCACACCCAGGACCTCCAGTCCTCAGCATCCTGATCTTTACTCCCTTTCCCAGAGCAGGACCTCAGACACCTTAAACTGGCATTGTATTCCAGAGAAGACAAATTTTAACACTCTTAGTGTCTCTAAAAACCAAATAAATCATGACAATGAAAATGGAATGATCATAAATTGTATTCATTCATCCATTTATTTATTTTCTAGTATTATTTTATTTTTCGAGATGGAGTTTCGCACTTGTCACCCAGGCTGGAGTGCAATGGTGCGATCTCAGCTCACTGTAACCTCTGCCTCCTGGGTTCAAGCAATTCTCCTGCTTCGGAGAATCCCCAGTAGCTGGGATTACAGGCGCCCGCCACCACACCTGGCTAATTTTTGTATTTTTAGTAGAGATGAAGTTTAGCCATGCTGGCCGGGCTGGTCTCGAGCTCCTGACCTCAGGTGATCTGCCTGCTTCAGCCTCCCAAAGTGCTGGGATTACAGGCGTGAGCCACGCGTGCCCAGCCTATTTTTTATTTTTTGAGACAAGGTCTTGCTTAGTCTCTCCAGCTGGAGGGCAGTGATGCAATCATGGCTCACTGCAGCCTGGACCTCCTGGGATCCAGCGATCCTCTTAGCCTCCGGGTTACCTGGGACCACAGGTGCACGTCATCATGCCCCGATAATTTTTAAATTTGTTGTGAAGCCGGGGGCGGGGGGGTTCTCCCTGTGTTGCTCAAGCTGGTCCCAAACACCTGGCCTCAAGCAATCTGCCTCCCTTGTTTTCCCAAAGTGCTGGGATTGCCAGTGTGAGCCGCCACACCCAGCCTCATCTATTCATTTACTTACTTCAAGAAACGTGTATGCAGTGACCCCACCATGCCCAGCCGCGAGCTGTGTGCTGACAAGAGGCTGCCTCCCTCTTTGCATGTTTTTCCTTGGGCGTCCCCCATCCACCCCACTGTATCAGGTTTCTAGACAGAAACACCTCATCCCCACAGAGTGACCTTGAGCCCGACTGCCTTCTCCCAGCCTCCTCCCTGCAGCCCCTGCGGTCCAGGGCAGGGGACTAACTGCCTCTGTGCAAATGAAGATGTCCTCTTTTTCCTAATCAGATCTCAGGTGAAGAGAGTTGAGTTAATCACAGGCTTCGGGTCCTGTCCAGGCAAAGCCCTTCTCTCATTTTATTAATTTATTTCCACTCTTCACCTCTGGGTCTGCTCCCCTCCCTCCTCACAGGCACCGACACAGATAGCTTTGAATACTCTGCATCCTGGAATACAAGGCGGTGTTCTGGTGTGTCGTTTCTAATTTACATGAAACCGTTGTGTTAGGAATTTCATTTTCTCACTTTCACTCATCCACAGCTATTGAGCACCTACTATGTGCCAGGCGTTTGTCTATTTATGGGGCACCTGCTATGCACCAGGCGTTGTTGTGGGTGCTGGAGGAAGCGCTGTGAGCAAGCCAGTCAGAATCCCTGCCCTTACAGAGCTTATAGTCTAGCAGGAGATGACAGACAAGAAGCCATAAACATACTTTTAAAATAAAGCAGAGTCCCTATGAGTAACGAGGTCAATAAATTTGGGCTGGGTGGCAGGTCCAATGTATGCCAGGGCTAGCTCAGACATGCTTGCAAGAGTCTACCAGCAAATTTTCAGGAATTTCGAGAGCCAGTTGCTAAATACAGCCATTATTAAAAACTAAATTACATAAACTTACAATTACATAATTGATTTAAACATTGTCAGTAAATACTCAAAACTCAACTGTTGCTAATTATGTCAACTAATACCGATGCTTTGGAGTGATGTCTCTTGTACTACAACTGTAATGATGAGCTTCTGCACATCTCTTTCCAACTCCCCAACTCTGTATGCTGTTAGCTTGACAACAGCCAAAGCAGAATTATCTACTGCACCAAAATTGAAAAACACTCTGGATAGAGCTTTGTCGGACAGTCACGGGTAAACTTTTACCAGGCATCCTTGGACGGGTCTACCTGGGAATGACCTAATGATCTTAGTGTCTGTCTTCTTCAAGTTCTGTGCTTGGATACTGCAGAGTACAGATAAAATAGAATGTTGTACTCACCTTATGCTCTATAGGGACAGCACAATATTGGGGAGCCCTTTGGTGGCAGGTCTGGGACATGCACGAAAGATTGCTGGGAAGTAGAGCCTGCATCCTTTTTCATCATCCTCCCACCCCATCCTCTAGCTTCTGGTAACCACTGTTCTATTCTCTGTTTCTAAGAGTTTGGGTTTTTTAGATTTTACATATAAGTGAGATCATGCATTATTTGTCTTTCTGTGTATGACCTATTTCACTTAACACAATGTCCTCCAGGTCCATCCATGTTGTCACAAATGACAGGACTTCTTTCTTTGATAAGGCAGAATATGATTAAATTGTACTTATATTAATATATTACATTTCATTGATCTATTCATCCATCAACAGACACTTAGGTTGTTTCCACATCCTGACCAATATGAATAATGTCGCCATGAACGTGGGTGTGCAGATGTCACTTTGAGATGCCAATTTCATTTCCTTGCACCGACTTACATTCCCACCAACAGTGCACAAGGATTCACTTTTCACTCCCATATCCTTGCCAGCATTTGTTATTGCTTGCCTTTTCTACACTAGTCATTCCAAAAGGTGTGAGGTGGTGTCTCACTGTGATTTTAATTTATATTTCCCTGATGATTAGTGATACTGAGCAACTTTTCATATCCTTGATGGTCATTTCTATGTCTTCTTTGAAGAAATGTCTGTTCAGATCCTTTGCCCTTTTTTTCTTTTTTTTTTCTTTTTTTTTTTTTTTTTTTTTTTTT